AAAGTTAGTGCTTATTAACATAGCACTCTTTTTCTGTTAGACAGTACCCAAGAGGACTGTACAATAACGGAAAAACTTCACAGTGTGATTTTTAAAAATGAAAAATATTACAATATTAATAAAGCAAAGAACTGAAAATGTACCCAAAATAAACTACAGCCAAACAAAACTAGTTATCTACCAGTAGAGTTCATCAAATAAGTTGGTTTTGTTGCCACGAGTTGTGCCAACAAATCACGTAACAGTAGTAGCTCAGTAGTATGTCTATGGAATCCAAAATATTTCCATACAGCGCGAGGGCCACGTCTTGTAGCAGATATTTCTTGTTCCCTTTTCTCCTCCTGATTACTTTTTGGTAAATTTCTTACAAACACACAACGCCGTCTGAATGAGTCCGACAGAAAGGGCAAAAATGATTGTGATTGCCTTACAAGTGCTTACAGATCATCTTCTGATGCCCTCTGTGACTATTCTTTGTTTTAGCCTCATTTCTATTCAATTTATTTATGCACCAGTTTTAAAATATAAAGCACTTTATCACTCCGTGTCTGTGAAAGCTGCTTTATAAATTAACTTTGCTTACTTACGTACTCAAGCAAAAGGAGTGACAGTAAACTTTACACTGATTTTTAATTTTTTAACGTATACCAGATAATCTTTTTAAAAAAATCACGTAACAATCATTAAAATTACAAAGTTTGCCAAGTTTAATTTCCTATGACAGAATATGTTTTAGCGAAATTTACTGATGTTCTCCATTTGGAGAATCAGTTGCATTTCATTGCATCGCTTTTGACAACAAAAAAAAACATATACTGCAATATAATGTCTGGACAAGATGAAAAATTATATATGGCCCCAGCCTAATCTCATTCTATCACAGTCCTTGCAATATGACAATTGCCCGTACATCACTTGCGATGATATTAATATCGCACATCGCCCAGCTCTAGTACTTATGTCATCCTGTTTCGTAGAGAAGTTACCATTACCCTATGGGAACATCAGAAGCCCAGGACTACCTTCTGTCAGTTAAACTGAGTCAGATCACCGGGAATAAATAACTGCTACATACAGCACACACATCAAATAACCAAACTATATGCTCCCAGCAGTTAAAATTAGTCTGGCTGGCCTAACAGTTTTTACATTTTTCATACTCAAATTCAATCTCCAAAAGCAGGTGAAGTTGCATGAAATAACATCATTCTGGCATTTTGTGTGCCACCTCCACCCCGACACCTGGAAAAAAGGTTCAATTACACTCATGGGAAGATCTAAAGAATGGGACATCACAGAAGTGCCGTTAATCTTAATCGCCGTAAGTGAGGACTCGCTTAAGGGCCCGCTGTTAAACTTTCAAGAAGCTACTTTTTCAAATCTCCAGCCAACACCCGAGAGGAGGGGTACCTGGGACTTCTGGAGTGCTTAAGAAACAGATTTGAGAAATAAGTGCCGCACAGAAGGGACTTGGGCATATCTTGAAAAATGCAGAGGATGTTTGTGATGAAAGAGGACACAACCAGCACTGTCAATCAAGCATGGCGAGGCACTGCGGCAGCCAGGAGGCTCAGCAGGATACTGCCTTGTAAACATATAATTTTTGTCATTGCAGGAACAAGCTGGACGGCTGTTGTTTTTTTTATTTTTTATTTTTTAATTATGTTCTGGCAGACATGTGACAGGTGGACCTATGCACCACTGCGCTCCTCTCTGTGTTTATCTGCTGGGGTCCACCGATCAAGGGCTCACTCATTAAACCCCGAGCAGCGGATGGCATGGACGCACAGAAGAAGAGCAGAACTCAGGCGGCAACCCAAAGGTCAAAGTGCCAGTTCCACACGGAGCACAGAGTTCAGAACTGAATCTTAACTAAGAGGAATCAGATAAATGAGTACTTTTATGACCTTTGAATGGAAACATATTACTTATACAAGCAACACATTCTCAAATCTATATGTATTAAAACCTCTCATGACATAAATTCTGTATATGCGAAGATCTGCATCACACTGGTTAAGATCTGACTGTGTGTGAGCCCCCCTTGGATAACTCGGGGGTACCGATACCGGCATATTGCAGGATGGCCAGCCAAGTCCCTTGATCCCAAACACACCTCATTTACATTCCACACACCATAGTTCTACCCAGATAGATTTCTTGCGCTGCGTCTCTTATAACAAGTGAGGGAAGGTCAGGCTCCTCCAAAGAAATCCCCAGATAACATGCAGCACCACCATGTTTGACAAATTAAATGTAAAACCTTACATGCCACTCTGCATGCTTTAAATCATTCAGATTGTTATGGGCCAGCTGCCCTCACTGTAATCAAAGGGTTACACTCTCACCATTCCTGCTGAATTTATTTCTTAGTGCGCACGCACATATTCATGTTAAGGATATTAATGTCCCCGTAATAAGCAGACCAGGGTTTCTTTATAGGATTTTCTTTTTAATAAACCGTCAGTAGTTCAGGTCATATTAGATGCATGACTAAAGATGCCATGATGATGTCACTACAAATGCCAGAACAATAACAAAAACCCTTTAATTAAATCATATCCAAATCTATTTCCCTTATGAATCAAGTCAATTTTTATGCTAATTAAATATATCAGCAAATTTGAACATATGTGAAGATATCAGAATGTTCAAAATATTGTCTACACTCTCAGAAAAAATGTGCAAGAATGTGTACCCTTGTAATTGTACCTTTTGAGGTACAGAAATGGACATCGAGGAACATCCCAAAGGTACAAACAACATTAATGTACCATACATGATTCAGAAATGTTCCTCAGAGTCCATTTCTGTACCTTAGAAGGTACAGTCACCTACAGCGAAGGGTACAATTGGCAGACCCTTGAGGGTACAGCCCCAGTAACAAGGTACAAATTTTTACCTTTTTTTCTAAGAGTTTAGTCCTAAAAGGAACCTTTGAGTCATTTGAGCAGAGTATGCTTGAATGTCAACCAGGTGCAAAGTATTGGCACTTTTACACCAGTCTGAAAACAGCAAGCAACACGAAAGGCTCCCGCTCTTAGTAAAACAATGTGAGCTTGACTCCTTATTTTATATCGAACTGTAGCTCCCAAACCATCAGCCTCTAATCTCAGTCTAATCTGCCTTTAGAACAACATTAATTATGTATATGTCAGGTCAGTGACCACATCTCGGTACACCCCCCCCCCCCTCTCACCCCAGGGGCTTCAAACAAGCTTTCATTTTCTCCAACAGCTGCCTTGATAATTTCCTCAGTCTAGAGGCGGAAAGGCTGGGAGCTCTTAGCTTGGCCGAAAAGGCCGCTGTGCCAGCTGTAGATCCGGTAGCAGGGTATTAGCTCGCTTAATAGCTGCACTCACAGACGGCCCGGCGAGGCGAGGCAAGGCGAGGCGAGGCGAGGCGAGAACGGTGACGGTGCAGTACTACGGGGGCGGAATGGCGAGAGGACGACGCTTAGCGGAGGGGAGTAGCGGAGGCCATCGATCAACTCAACAGGAGGGGCCTTCCCCCCAAGCTTATCAGATCGTGGCAATTTGACACGGGGGGATGAGGCTCACCTTCAGTATGTCCTACAGAAAATCCCCATTCGTCATTCCTCTGTGTGTCTCCCCAATGGCGCTGAAAAATGCATCTTACAGTACAAAATACAGTATTTCTCATCACACTGGGTTATCAAGAAGGCTGTCATGTAGTCGGCAGTCAGAGCTATGGCATTTCGGCGCAGAGGTTTGCAATGAGGGGTTCGCTGTCAGCGAGAGTATAGTGCAGGAGTAGCACATACAACAAGCCGAAGTCAAGGCACACGAAGCTTTTCAATAAGTGGCAGCTTCGTGTGCCTTGACTTCGGCTTGTTGTATGTGCTACACCTGCACTATACTCTCGCTGACAGCGAACCCCTCATTGCAAACCTCTGCCATACAGGTGAATACAGGTGACCTCACTGACATCTTCAGTGACTCCAGTGCCGGCTCTTCCTGTTGCAGTAACTCTAAGCCTAGCCCTAACCTAGCCACAGGATGATCTAACAGAACATTTGCGCTCTCTTCTGTATACCCTCATCAGCCCCCAAATCCACACAAACACAGTGCAGAATGGATAAATAGAATAAAATGATGCAGTTAATACATTCAGTTACCATAACTGAAGAAAAAAGTGCAACCACAAATGGAACAAAACACAGTTCTGTCTGAATGCACAAACTAAACTGATGTGCTTTGTCAGCTATAAATGGGAGTGCAGCAGTGGAAGAGAATATTTTATAACCACAATGAATGCCATAAAAAAAAAGTATCTCAAACTGTTTCTCATTGTTACTTAATAACTTTTCCGAAGACAACAATAAACCTCACTTATAAAACCGAAGCCTACCAGTCGAAATGAACTGTCCCCTCCGTGATCTTGACAAACTCCAACACGTCTCACTTACAATCTGCTGCATATAACTAAGCCGCTTATCATACGGACCACTTTGCTGAGGACGCTTGTCATTTTCCTGTGATGCCAAAGGACAACCACAAAATCGGCATAGCTACCACCTGAGCTGGGCCAGTGGTTCACAAGGAAACTCATTAAGAGCGTGCAATTCAAAGCATTCACCAAATGTGGAGGCTGGAGGGCAGAAGCTCAGGACAGCAGACCTGCAGTACAACAGACCTGACCAGGGATGCATCTCATATTTACCAGCTGTCTTCCTTACTCTACCTAGTAGACGATATTAGGGTGGGTCAGCAGGGTGTCATTACCTGTGATGCTTGACTAGGCCCAGTCCCATGTAAATGTCCCTTGCTGGCTCACTGACGGTAGCACAGTATAGGTCCAGAAAAAAACATAAAATGCTAAAAGTGAAGACACTGTCTTATAGCTACACAGAAATGGAAAGCTTACTGAACTGAGAAATTCTTCATATGTCAAATGCAATGGAATGGAAAAACTAAATTTATTTTTGTTGAATAGCACTAACTATGTGAAGTTTAGTTTGAAAGCCCACTGACACCTACCTAATAGAGCAATGTCACTCCCATGTCAGGAAACTGAAGGTGCCATTTCAGCGGCCATTTTGGGGCTTAAACCAACATCATGACGGGACGTGGGGTCAGATGTTCTTCTCTGAGCTGGAAGGCAAAAGCGTGGGGATTAAATGTTTAAGTACATTTACAATATGTTCAGGGAGGTGACATGTGCAAAGAAAGCATGGAGAGATAAATGTCTTTTATACCAATATTAATTATGCCAAAATCTGTTATACCAAGTCCTTTCATCATCAGAGAGGTGGACGCAAGCTGAGGCATAAAGATAAAGCCAGTTTAAGCAATTACTCTGGGTCAGCAGGATTATCTAAACACATAATTAAAGGGACTCCTGAAAAAATACCCAACAGTCCCTTTGATATTATACAACGGTAGCATTCATTTAGTTGGGTTTTTCAGTACACAAAGTAGACAAATAAATTAACTTTAGCCAAGATAACAAAAATGCCGATCTTGAAAAGAGAACTCACACGGATTAGTTGCGCTTGATAATACACTACAAAGAAGATAATTTATAATGTTATTTCTTAATAAACCCTATGAGATCACCTTCAACACCTCAGATCTTCAACACATGTCAACCCACAAGAAGTGGTAACATGTGCTATTATCCAGACTGACATTGCACTCCTTCCTGTGAACTTGGGAAAAACTAGCCTGATTGACATAATCTGTAATTGGATCCGTAGCAATCAGGTACTGGTTGTTTCCTGTGCAATATTAACCATCAGCAGCATGCAGTGGCTTCATTTGCATGTAGGAATGAGGATACTTAAGGCCTGTAATCTATAAATGATCACAGTCACCTCTTTAAAATGCCAAGCAATCCTAAGGATCTACTAATATTTCTGATAACTGAAAATAAATTACAAATATGCTGCATAGCTTGAAAATATACAAACTTTCATTAACACCATCTTTGTCTTTGTATATCAAAAGGTTTAATTTTCATAATGTAATGAAAAATTGATTGTGATATTTATTATGATGGACTGAACATACAAAACCAATGCATGCTTATATACGCTTGCATTTTATTTATTTATCAACACATTTGAGGAAACAGGATCAGGCAGGATTGACTGGAAGTTAAGGGTCTTGCTCAAGGGCCCACTGGTGGAATTACTCTACCAACTTTGGGATTTGAACCAGCAGCCTTCTGATCAAAGGCACAGCATACTAACTCGCTGAGCTGCACACCTCCCAAGGTACACCCATGCCTTTATTTTGAAGAATCTGTTTGCTCGTATTTTTCACAACAATGAGACACAACTCCGTTCACACAGTGCCCTGCATTCAAATTCGATCAGCGCCCAGACTGGAAACCTACTGGGATTGTCCGGTAGATGGAAAACAGCCTCTAAAATCCATCAACCAAAACATGAAGTAATTATTTATGTTTTGTGAATCTTAAAGTTTAAACTTTACAAACAATATATTGTTATGGCCACCTGCCATTTCATAGTATTACAAACAAGTACAGCCTGTAAGTAACACTGCAGTGCCCCTGGTGGCCACTTCCATGTGTTGCATGTAAGTCCACTTTGGCTCTGCTAGTAATTGACAGGTGCCCTTATGGCCAGTCAAACCATCACTGTTGTTGTCAATAATTCAAGGCTGCCACTGAGAAACTCTGACTATTTTCAATTTACCTACAGTAAGACCACACTCTGAATTTACCACAACATTTGCTACTGCCCTAAATTAAACTCTCCATCTGTGACCAACAGAAAATGATTAAGCTTGCATCATACCTATAATCTAAGGAATGATAACCACTAACACTCAGAAAGAGATCTTTCATCTTTACATACCTTGCAGTTCATGTATCATAAATGATGCAGACTGTCATACATAAAGGACAATAGAAAGATAATCTAATTTAAATAACACCATTTTGAATTTAATAGAGTCAATGATAATGAAGATAATATTACATATTAAAAACTTCAGAGCCAATTCTCCAGCACACGACAAACTTGAAAATGTAATTCTTGAAAAGTAAAGACATTCCAGCTTCTCCTGCTCTGATGATGGCCAAGAATCAAGGACAAATATTTTACGGTCCATTAGCAAATTAGGATAACTGGCGAAAGACAGCGTTTCAGTGGGGTTAGGGAAAGTCTGTGTAAAATCATCAGCATGACCTGGACAGACAGCCGGAAGCTCACGACAGAATATCATAATTAAACTGCAAGCCTAAAGACAACCAAGGGCAAATGCTGATGCCCCAAGTTGAAAATGGCTTCCAAATGATATTCTACTGGCCCATCCAAAAATATGATACGGTGGATTGGAATTACCAAATTGCCCACCGGTGTGTATGGTGTGTGAGTGTGCCCTGTGTTGGGTAGGTGCCCCATCCAGGGTTGTTCCCTGCCATGTGCCCTGTGATGGGTAGGTGCCCCATCCTGGGTTGTTCCCTGCCTTGTGCCCTGTGTTGGGTCGGTGCCCCATCCTGGGTTGTTCCCTGCCTTGTGCCCTGTGTTGGGTAGGTGCCTCATCCAG